AATTCTAGCTATAAGATTGGGGCTTTGTTGTCTTTTTTAAAAGCAAAAGTTCTACTTTTTCAACTGGATACTCTATCAAGTTAATAAAGGAATGTTTACAGGTTGTTAACTGGGCTAAAATGCAATGACATTTTTTGCCATTCGTTATCACAGACCTTACCACTACACAGACCTTCCCTTTTTTTGCAGCTTCTGGGTTTCTTTTTTAAGTAGACAACATTGTAATTGCCATCATTTTATCTGTATGTCAATTTTAATGTGAAATACAAGTAACCACTTCTAATTTTTTGCTCACATGACTACATATATTCCGGGAACTGTTTCTAAATAGCTTGAGTTTGAGACCTTTATCTCCACTAGACTTTGAACTGTTGTGTAAGAAGCATGGAAATTAGTGGGGCTTTTATTGAGAGTTGCTCTTAGTGCTTTGCTCCTTATCTCCCTCTGGCCCTTTAAGATTTATTTTCATTTTAACTGTCAGGATTATTTCATTAGGCAAAAGAGGGACTGCAGTGCTTGCGCCTTTGGCAAAGATGCTACCAGTGAATTCATCTGCTGTATTGGTTCTACAGCAGAACCTATTTGCAAAATCTTTGCTGTACTAGCCTGAATGGGAGATTATGGGCTGGCAGGTTTTTAGGTCTATTAATGGTAATGCAAAGTAATACTGGATTTGCTAGATATTGGTGATGTTTGCAAGGATAAAATTAACAGAATAGTAAATTAAGGATGTAGGTGTTTATACATGAGTCTGTTTTTCCCTTGGGAAGGCATCTGGTAAAATAAGAAATGACTTATACAGTAGGTGTGCATTTCCTCTTTAGTTCTTGAAAAAAATTCAGCTGCTGGCCTGTCATGTTTTGACTGGCTTACATAGGAAAAATATTTAAAGTGTTTCAAGTGAGCCAAACTCTGTGTGTATGTGTGTGTGAGGAGATAGAGGTTAGCAACAACAAACAGTGTGCAGTTCCAAACACCACCATAGAGAAAATTTCTGAGAGATCATCAGCTATTCTTAGTCACAGCCCCTGTGCTTTAAAATGACTCATGTTAAATATCGGGCTTATTTTAGCTATAGCAGTTGGAAGTACTGGTGATGGGAATTCCACATCATCTTCTGCAGCCTGTAATCAATCAGTAAAGTCTGTTGCCTGTTAGGCAGTCCTTTCTGCACTAGCACAAATCCACACAGTTTCATGGGTGCAGCTGCCCAGCCAGTCTTTGTGATCTGCACAGCACTCAGGTCTGAACAAAACTGACCCAGGTAACCTGTGTTGCAAACAGGGTCAACCCCCAATATAATGTACTGCCAAGTGTATGCATTGTATTAGGAATTCTGTTGGGCATATATTATGTAATTATCAGAGGAATTATCCCCTCTAGAGGGGTCCTACATGATTCCTTTTGATACCAATGTGGAAGAGCTTGCTTTATAAATGTGCAGACCATTGGCAGCAGGTACAAATGCAATCTTAGCACCTGTTAGATATTGCACAGTGCCTGGGTAGCAGTCCTAGGAAACAAAAAGACTTTAGAGATGCAGTCTTAAGCCCAGAGACCTGGAAATCAGCTCCAGTGAACTCATTAAGACTTCTGAATAAACATGCTTAGAATTGCACTGTAGGATGCCTACTATTTATTGTTTCCATTGTTGTTGTTGTTTCTGTTGCGGTTGAGGGGACTGGAATAACTAAACTGCAGTAATACCATGCACTGGTTCTTGTGTATTGGGTTGCTATCCCCTCCGCTTGCGGCACTCTGCTTAAAAATTTTATGGAAATGCAGTGCCACAGTCTGTCCCAAAGCACCCAAAACGTTTTTTTCTGGTTTTGCTTTCTTACTAAAGTGTGAATAGGCAAGTCAACTAGAATGATGTCAACTGGATGTGGTGAGAACTTTTCACTCCCCCCTCCCCTCCTGATAGTTAATCATGGTTTGGTTGAATGATTCCTTGGCTATGAAGGCTCACCTTACATTCACGAAGAACCTGGAGAGTATAAAGCAAGAAGGGCTATTTTTACTATCTGTTCTTGCTCTACGTCTTCCTCTGCCTATGCAAACTGACTTTCACACATATGGGCTTTTGTATCCTAAACAGGGCCCTGTTCTACTAGAAGACCCTTAGCTGGGTGAAGTATAGGGTAAGCTAGGTATTGCTTTGCTGTTGTTTTCCTACAACACTTTTCCAAATGGTTTTTCCATTGTTCAAAGAGGTTTCTCTTCTTTCTCTTGATATTTCTACACCTTTTAATGCCTTCAACCCTTCCTTTTTGTAAATGCATTTCACAGGTATAGCACTTTATTCCAAAGTGCTGCAAATACAATAAAACTATTGAAAATACTATATATCTACAATAATTATATAACCTTAATGATCAAGATAATTTCATAAATAAAAAGCTTAAATAATATACAAGATAAGACTAAATCTTACATAAAACTCATATAAACTCACAAGCCATGAGCATTTACCTCAAATAACCAGTTTCCCTAATGAAACAGAAAAGCTTTCCAACCCATTTTAAACTCTTGGTTCACTGTGGTGGTAGGTGGATGTAGTTCCACAATTGAGGGAAGTGGTAACGGGCCTCCACAATCTGTGAGTAGAAGGAATTAGAGCCTGACCCATGGATCTTGTGGTCCAACCCAGAGCATAACAGGACAAAAGAAAGGAAAAGTATGGCTTGATAATTTAGCCTTAAGGTGTTAAAGACCAGGACAGTAATCTTGTAACAGACTCTGGACTTCAGCCAGTATAAGTCTCTGTGATACAAGCATATAGAAGAAGGTCAAGAACAGTCCCAACAGCATTATTCTGAACCAGAATCAAAGAAGGAGAAGAGGAAGTACTGCTAGGGGACACTTACTTTAGTCCAGGTGTGATGTAATCACAGCTTAAACCAGAATCTCTGCCATCACCTGGGGCAGATGTTGTGAGTCTAATGTACTGAATATTTTTTAAAAGGAAACTACAAATTCTCCTTGTGCTCTCAATCAGGGAGCACATTGAAATGTGATCATTCTCCAGGACGCTAGCAACAGGGACCAGGAGCAGCTGGAAATACCTTAAAGATAAAGAGGAGGCAGGAAGGGAAAGGAAGTGGGGTGTTCAGTACAGAAAATCAAGGTTTTGGTTTTATCCATATTCCAACTGAGGTGGTTAGTAACATCCATACTATAGTAAGTAACTTCTCACTGGTGTCTGCTCCCCCTGTGCAAGCTGATCAAAGGGCTGGTAAGCCTGAGCATCATCAGCAGAAATGTGATACTGAAAACCAAAATCAGAAATAAGATAACCCATGGGAAAGATGTAATGAGAAAAAAGATTAGGTTGAAGGACAGATTCTTGAGGTATCTTAACCATAAGAAGAAAAGGTTCTGAAACACTATTAGGCCAACAGTGCCCATGGATGCCCATCAGACCAAAAGTATCTTGTGGTCCAAAGTATCGAATGCTACTGAAAGACCAAGCAGCATGAGCATCAGTGCATGGCACCACACCTTGGCCACAAGAACATCATTGAATAGTACCATCTCCATTGAATAAAAAGCCTGAAGTCCTGATTGAAAAGGATGGCTGAAATCATGAGAAGATAAATAAGAAACGACCTGGGAGGGGGCCAATTTTACATGACCAATCGTCAGTGTAACCCGTATTTGTGTGTCTCAACTATAACCTGAAAAGTACGATTGTCCCTTAGCTCATGTTAACATGGTGGCAGCCTAACCAATAACTTACTTGACCACTGCTGGGAATTGGAATTGGGTAACTGCCTACCCTCCTTTCCCTTCACACTTGTCATCAAGGGTTGCATGTGGGGAAATAAGAGTGTTTGGTGGTTTTACCATATGGTCAGCCTTATGATAAATGTGATGACAGAATGCTAACATGTGGGCATTTGTGATGATGCTGTTATGGTAATACTTGTACTGTATATGTATCAGTGTATACACGTTATCTCTTTTAGCCTACCTTTCCTCTTCCAGCTAGGGAAGAGATTTTGGTTACTGCTTGAATTCTTTGCTATTCCATGCCTACCTCATTGTATGCCAAAAATGACAGTAACAAAGTTGAAACTGCTTGTGTAGAGGAGAAAGCTGTGTGGAGAGTTAATAATTAAAATGCTGACTGTATAACCCTGAGCAGATTATAATGCAATACTACCACTAACATAGATTGCATTGCACCAGCATAAGAGACCACTAGCACAACATCAGCACTGTTTGCTAGTTGGCAGATTTCCCGGGGAAGCTTCACACAAACAAATGCTATATAGTGCTGGATGATACAGCTAGAACAGTGTTAAGTTAGGTATTGTGTCATATTGGATACTTATCTGTTATGTTCTTGATATAATTTAGTTTTCCTCTGTATGTGTTTATTTTTTTATGGGGAAACGGTCTGTCTTTAGTTGGTGGTTAGCTTTAGGAGTGGGTTGTTTTGGCAAAGAAGTGGGGACAACTTGCCTTTTCAGCTGTTTTTCTCCTTTTCTGTAGTACATCCTACTAGTACAACTGTTAGGTTTTCTGGCTTACTCTTAAGAGAAAACACATTTGAAGACCAACAAAGAAGCACAACTAAGGAGTGGTGAAGCAGAACTCTTCCTCCTCACTTGCATGTGAATGTTTGTATTTTTTCCTTCCTTCCCCTGTGGTGTTTCAAGAAATTCAGCAAATGGGTATTAACTGCACCCACTTAAGCCAAGTGAGCTCAACAACTGTTAGTTGCCATTCCCTGTGATTTGTCACATTTTGTGTACTAGCATCAAAATAATGAGACACACCTTTTGGGAGTATTGTGGAAACAAATCTGTTATTTTCTAGATTATGTGGATTTGACTCCATTGTTCAAGTGTGAAGTAATACATTGTAGTCTTTGTGGCCAATTAATGGCTAATTGGAGGTATATTCAAATATTCTACAATTAATTCATGTTTATTTAATTCAATTCTGCTAAATTGTGCCATTTTATCCACACCTCTCTTTCTCTCTCTTTTAAGGCCAGTTGAATCATCTACACAAGACTTAAAGCCTGGAGAAAATATGATTTGCACGAATAAGCTTATGAGACCAGAATGAAATCAAAAGAGCTTTCCTATGAAAAGCAAAAATGTGAGCTCTCTTCTCTTTTTAAACATGCAATTCTATAGGATTACTTTTATATTACATTTATGGCTTAGAGAAAAAAAAATCTAGGCAGCTGCCAATACTGTATAGGCAAGTTGTTTATGTATACTGTGTTGGCAAGTGTTGGGCTTTTAGTCATATACTTTGTGTTTCCTCAATACAAAGAACAAATGTGTGGAGAAGAATAGGATTTTTCAGGCTATTAATACTTTCACCCTTTAACATGGTGGGATGAAAATGTGAATGATGTGCTTAGCACATACAGCTTTCGCCTGTAGACTACTCACCATTATCAAGAATCCTAGTCATGTGGAACAGTCTTTGTACACCATAGTTATATATTTACAGACCTCATTATTTGCTTTCACCCAAACATACTGGAGATAGGCTCAGAGAGGTCCATGGCAGGGCCATCCAGCATTCTTGCTCTCCTACCATACATTTGGTATGTAATGAGATGCATATAACATTTCTGTTAAATTTTAAGACTTTGAGGAAAAAGAAATCAACTTTAGATGTTGATTCGAAACAGAATACCCCTCCTCCCTTCCTAAGTGAAAGATCTTGGCTCCAGCTTCTGGGTGGTTCAGGCTGCTTATGGGCCAGTTTTTAGGAACATCTGAAACTGCTGCATGATTGAGCTGATGCTACATACTCAGACTAATAAGGTTAAGGCCAGCCTGATGAATTCCACCTACTCAACAGTTTCACACAGAACTGGATGTGCTCTGGTGCTCACCAGCCTCTTGGCTTACCTCTGGTCTTGGCATTTCAGCTAAGCATTCCAATCTTGCCTCTTCTTCCAGTTCTGGTTGAGACTCTTGAGTCAACAACCCTGGAAGGCTGTACTTTAGAAGAAGTATCTGAGTCACTCATCACCCTCCAGATGGGCTGCAGTTCCCATCATTTCCATACAGAAAGATCATTGACCACAATGCAGTGGCTTTGGTCAATAGTGACTAGCTGTGCTGCTATGTGGAGATGTCTGCAGGTTGCCAGTGGGAGAACCTTGCTAGGTGTTCAGAATGAAAGAGACAGTTGTTCTTGGCATGTACTTCAAGGCCAAAGAGACTTGGACTCTTCAGAGGGGGAGGAGGAAGGACCCTGGGGAATGGGGCCTCCAGATTTCTACGGTGAGAGATGGGATTGGTGGGAAGGTTTATCTCAAAGTCACCCTCTCTAGGTATTCAGGCAGACCCTGAGAATAGCCACAGTCTGCAAATGTTGGGAGGGGGCATGGAACAGCCAGACAAGCTTGGTCTGATCCTTGACCCCATGACACAGTATTAGGAGAGAAGGGCTAGCCAACCAGAAGGGTGGTGTACAGAGGAGTGTGGCCCATGGGTACTCAAAAGGAGGGTTCCTGGAAGTAGTTTCTAATGTGTGTTCAACAAACCACTCTGTGCATGCTCAAGAGACTCTTTGCTGATTATGCTTTGTTGGATGTACATTGCAGAATAAGGATCTTTTGCCAAATAGATCATTATTTTCTGTTGTTTTGAAAGGGCAAAGGAGAAACCTTGCTCCCCACTCTATGTTCTTAGTTTTTCCCCAGTGCATCTGCAGTAGTGGGCACACTGATCTTGCCCTTGGTAACAAAAATATCAGAAATACATTAGAAAAAATAAGCTGTCATCAGTACACTGGCATTTTTAATATTTTGTCAGCTAACAACATTTGGTAGATTTGGTGAATGTTTAACTTATTTATTACTTTTATATCCTGTTTTTCTTCCAAGGCACTTGAATCAGTGTACGTGGTTCTCCCCTTCACTATCTATCCCTCTAATGACCCTGTGAGGTAGATTAGGCTGAAAGAGCCTGTGTCTTTGTTATCTAGGGAAGTACATTGCTGAATTGGGGTTTGAACTTGGGTCTCCCCAATTCTAATCCAGCACTGACTAGTATAATGCCATTTGGGAGGTGCAGGGAATCTAAATTTGAAAAATGTTTCTTACATAATTTTGTGGAAAACCCTACTGCCTGTTATATTTAGTTTTTTAAAAATTAGTTTATATGTGTGAAAGGGATACCAAATTTTGCATATAGGATTGGGCAGTTGAGAGAAAATGTTGAAGTCCAGGTTTCCCTAATACTAGATGGATAAAGGAGTAAGGAAATTCCAATGTTGTTGTTGCTATCTATGATTTTTACAGTTGTAAAATTGCAGAAGTGGGTGAGAGGTGTCAAATTGCTGTTTATTGTTCAGTAGAAACAGAATATACTTGCTAAGAATCATCAGCCTGTTTTGCTGGTAATAGCAATACATAGCATTTATATGCCAATTTAGTGTAGAGGTGCAAAACCTGCAGACCACTTTCTGCCAACTTCTGTACAGCTGTGCATGAGTTTAAACTTTGTTATGGAAGGTAATAGCCTTTTCAGGGGCACAGAACCTCTTCCAGCCCAAGGGCTGAAGCTATTTCAGAGAAACTTTCAAGGGCTGTGTTCTAGTGCTGGCTGAGACCAAAGGAAAAGTGGGTAGAGCCTGAAATTTCCAAGATGCTAGCATTACTACATAAGCAGTAATCTCGGTTGGCCTTCTGCAGAGCCCTTGAAGGCCAACCAAGATTACGGAAGGGCCAGATTTGCCCCCTAGAATTTGGACCGAAGCCCCTGCATCTTCATCTATTTAATGCATCCCATGAAAGTGGTCAAAGGTAAACCTTACCTTTCAAATGACTAGAAAGCCACAAGAAATAACATACACAGGTCCTTTAGTACTGGTTAGTGTGACACCTAGTTTCCGAATGAAATCAAAACTACTATTTGTTGTTAAGACATCTCCAAATATTGTACTTCCTCAGTTCTTCTCTAAAATAAATATGTCCTTCACTATGAATTATCCCCTCCAAATGTTAAAAGTCTTGGGGGAAAAGGCTACTTGTGGTGCAGTTTCTACTGTGTTTTGTTCCCAAGCCAATACTCATATATCACAGAAGCTTCAAGTAAAGAAAGAAAGTCAAAGAGAGCAGCCGCAGACATCCAAACAGTGGTTTCTTGCCAGCTAGCTGTGCTGCTAGCCAGGAAAGGGATTTTGAACCATAGAATGACATATAAGGACCTGTGAATGGCTGCCTTTCATTGCTCAGAAATGTAAATATTTTCTCACTCTAGCAGTTTTGTTAATCTTACACAATTCAGTGATCGAATTAAGGTTGCAGTCCTCTGTGCACATTTACTTGAGAGTAAATCCCATTGCATTCAGGGGGAAATAACTTCTGAGTAAATATATAGAGGATCAAGTTGCCTGATAGAATTCAAGATCTGACCACAAATGTTGTACCAAGTCATTGTTCTAAGCAGCTGTATAATGTTTAGAAATTCAGTATGAATAAAAATATTTCAGTAAAAAGTACTGACTTACCATATTGGTGTTCCTACTCTTCTTTAGTGTTTGTTTATAGAAAGACTGTGAATGTGTGATTTTTTAAAAACAAGTTGGAAATACAAGAGAGAGATTATAGTAAAATCTACAGTGCTGTATTCACAAAGAGAAGAAAGGGGCTTGTACCTCCTCTATTTTTTTACTCCAAAATATAACTGATGCCAGTCTTCAGTAAACTTATTTAATCCTAAACCCACTTGAGTGTTTTTGTATTGCTAGTATAAATGGAATGGAATAGATATTAAGTTACCGCTTGAAGATAAGGTGGCTTTGTGGTTTTCCCAACCAAATGTTTTAAACAACTTGAGAGGGTGAGCAGATTTATTATACAATCTAAGTTTCATCACTCCCATCTATTAAAGAAATACAACAAAAGTACTTTAGGGTGTTGAGGTATTAAGTAGCCAGTCACGGTTGTTGCATTGATCAAGAATGTGTTTTATAATATATGCATATGTGGTTGCTTCCACAGGTCTTGCCACAATGGGATAGCATTAAATTCAGCAAGACCTTAACAACACAACATAGAAATGCTGGAGTTCTCAGTTGGATGGGGAGAAAGTGGACCATCAAAAGCTGGCAGTGTGTGGGAATAAGTGCAGGAGAATATGAATGTAGCCACAGGTGAAGCAGGCCCAGATAAAGCAGCAGTAGCAAGACCTGTATGCCAGAACTAAGGGACTTTGAGAGGGAGATCAGGTCATGGTCCTAAAAGTCCCCATCTCTATTGCTGATTGTGGTTCTCCAAGGTCTTGAGTGGATAAAAAGCCTGTCTTGCTACCTGATCATTTTTAACAGGCACTAGCAGGAACCAGTCCTGGCACCTTCAATAAGTAAAGGTCTGCTACAGAGCTGAAGATCTGCCTTGCAGGAAGAATTGATTTAATGATTTTATTATCAGGAACCTTGAGCATTTTGATTTGTGCATTATTGTTGTTTATTAAGCCAAAAATCCCAGACTGACCTCCTCAATAAACTAAACCAAAGTGGCGAGAGGTTTACTATCTTTATTTTGAATATGCTTAATGTGGGCAAGATGTGCAAATGGATGCCTGCCCTGTCTGTCTTCCTTCAGATGATAAAAAAGAGGATTAAATTAACTAATCATGCCCTACTGTTAGGCTGTTAATGCTGTGTAGTACTATTAGAGATTTAAAGGTTCAAAGTAGCACCTTGAACTGAGCCCAGAAAAAAACTGACAACCAGTATTGGGGTGATAGGATCATGATGCTGTACACCGTTTAGCAACCTAACTGGCACATATTCCAGCTAGTGAAGCTTTTGGATGCTTGTCAATGGTAGCCATTTTAGTTCTTACATGGCAGCCTGTAAACTTCAGAGATGGAGTCATCTCAATTTGAGAGTTCAGCATTTCCTTTCATTTAAAACAAAACAAAACAAAACAAAAGAGATTAGAGAAAAGTGCATACTGTCAATCTCTCTCCTTCCAAGGGGAATGCAAACGACATCCTTTCCCTAGTCACTGACCCACTGTCTTCTCTAAAATTCCCTTCACTATTTGCCCTTCTCACAAATAGAGCCTCTCCATTCCTGGGGCTCAGCTGGCCTAGTTTTACACTCACTAAGAGCTAGTGCAG